AAAATTAAAAAAAAAATGAAAATATTTTACATAGATAAAATAAATACAGCATACCCAAATGAAGGACATGCTTATTTTTCAGGTCAAATAATATTAATAGTAAATTTCTTTAAGCACAACATAGGAATGTGGAAATTCACGTTATGGATGATATGAAACTCTTTGCCAAAGACGACAATGAGTTGAGGGCATCCTCAATATTGTAAAATACTTCAGTGACGACATTAGTATGGACTTCGGATTAGATAAAGGTGCAATAGTAACATTCAAGAAAGGTAGAATTACAGAAACACCCTTAACAGATTTAGATTTTGTTACAAAGATTAGTGAACTGTAGCATGATGAAGCTTATAAGTACCTAGGGATTAGCGAAGGAGATGGTATACAACCCCCAACCCAAATGAAGGAGAAGATAAGAAAGGAGTGCTACAGGCGTGTACGTCTGGTACTAAATATCAGAATATCAGCCATAAACACCTTCGCTGTCATCGTAATGCAATACAACTTTAATGTCCTTAACTGGACCATAGCTGAAATTAAGCGAATGGACGCCATAAAGAGAAAGCTTCTCTCTTGCTACCGCATGCATCATCACAAAGCTGATGTTGATCGTCTGTATGTACTCAGATCCGAAGGAGGCAGAGAATTAGTTCAACTAGAACTGTCCTACAAAACTACTATTGGCCTTCAAAGATACTTGGAAACTACAGAATACTGGATGATGGTATGTGTCAAGGAACGTGAAAGTAGTAAGCGTCTTTACTCCGTAACAAAGGACGCCAACAAATTCAAAATGGAGTTTCAAATGGACGTAGAGATGCAACTAAAGCACAATACACCGGCTGAAGCTGCAAAATACATAAAAAAGAAAGCAAAGACGAATGCAACCGACCAGACACAGAAACAATAGCAAGATAAACCGCTTCATGGCCAATACTCTGCCCGTATCAAACAAGCTGACGTAGACAAAACCCGTACCCATCAGTGGCTACGTAGTGCAGGGTTGAAAGCTGAAACTGAAGGTTTTATCCTTGTTGCACAGGACCAATGCTTGTTAACTAGGAATTATCAAGCATATATACTAAAATATTGTGTCAGCCCAAAATGCAGATTCTGTGATAAATATCCAGAAACGATTGATCATTTTGTATTGCGTTGCACGATATTGGCAACCACTGAGTATAAATCACGGCATGACAGAGTGGGCCAATATTTGCAATGGAAAATTTGCAACTTCTATGGGAAGGAAACTGAAATAAACTGGTATGAACACCACCCAGACCCGGTTAAGGAGATAGGACCTGTTACAATTCTATCGGACTACACAATACACACAAACAGAACAATCAAAGCCAACCGCCAGATATTGTTATTAAAGACCACAAACAAAAAGTGCCTCCTTATTGATATGGCAGTCCCTGCAGGCGGCAATGTATCTTTGAAGATATTCAAAAAGCTGTCAAAATACAAGTACCTTGAAATAGAAATCTCAAAAATGTGGCATATGGGAACATCAACAATCCCTGTTGTAGTTGGAGCCCTAGGTTTGGTTGGAAAAGAATCCAGTAGACTAATTGAAGGGATTCCTGGAAGCCCAGGCCTCAAAACGATACAAAAAAATTGTTCTGACAACTACAGCCCACTCTTTACGAAGGGCTTTATCTATGTAATTTTTTTTTTTCAGTGGAAAGTGACATGATGCCATTTCTACTCTTAGATCCCTGGGCGGGACCAGGAAAAAATATGTAAACGCCAGAAATCAAAAGAAATAAAAACAACAACGACAACAATAATAATACTAATAATAATAATGATAATATTGAATATAATAATAATAATAATATTTACATTATTCGAACTATTGTCCTCATCTTTGTCGCCATATTTATTACAACGTTTCGGCGGCTCTACGCCCCAGCTTTCTTCAGGTGGTTGGAATGTCGAACTGAACCCTTTATTTCGCTCTTCCCGTTCCACGTGCCATGTTTAATTGATGTCAGTTATCAGTTATCTCATTTTAATTCCCCTCTCCAAGTTCTCCACTGCCTTAATATAATATGGGAACCAGTAATAAGGAGTGCCAGAGAAAAACGATGACAACAAAAATTGCAATTTGAGTTCTGGTAAAAACGTAATGATAACAGCAAAAATTGCAATATGAGCACTGGTAAAAAAAATGATTGATGAAGACATTAGGTTTATAATAACCAGAAACTCATACACATGGACACATGGCCCAGTGGATAAAGACGTTGGTTAGATCCAGTGACAGGACCCAAAGACTGTGAGTTCAATACCCGGTTAACTTGGAGAGGAGAATTAACAGGAGATAATTAGACATGGCACGTGGAACTAGAACAGTCTACTCCAATGAACGAAAAAAAGGGTTCAGTAAATAAAGGTTTCAGTTCGACATTCCAACCACCTAAAGAAGGCCATTGGGATAAATATGGCGACAAAGATGAGGACAACAGTCCGAATAATGTAAATAGTTTACATAATACAACATCTCAGAAATATAGACAAATAATAATAATAATAAGGATAGATTACCGTAATGTCTTTGATAGTGTGACTAAGACTTTAGTAATGTATAAACTCTTCTCAGTGGGAATGTGGAAAACTATATTATACCTAAGTCCCACCAAACCGTCAGAATATCCGACGAGAAAACTCCCTGTCACCCCTTCTATTTTGTCTGTATAATCCCTCTTACGCATGAACTAAACAACAGTAGCTATGGTTACAAAATAAACTATTCAATCACCTACTCTACATGGATGGTCTCAAACTCTTTGCCGAAGACGACATTGAGTTGAAGGGTCTCCTCGATGTTCTGAAATGTTTTCAGTGACGACATAGGTATGGATTTGGGATTAGATAAATGTGTAAAAGTAGCATTCAAAAATAGGGAAAATATAAGAAACACACTCAATAAATCCAGAATTTGTCACAAAGGTAACTGGGACAAGAAGAAGCCTATAGGTACCTAGGAATTAACGAAAGAGATGGAATACAGCCTGTGCAAATGAAGGACAAATTAAGAATATTACAGGCGCGTGTGTGTGTCACAAATCAGAATATCAGCCATTAACACTTTGGCTGTCCCTGTGGTGCAATACAGTTTTCAAGAAGAAAATGAATATAGAACGGAGAAAGGAACTAATACTACGACTGCTAACAACAACAATAATAGTGATAATAATAATATACTCTGTTTGTATCTTCTGATAAAATATTGTTGTTTTCTGTTGAAGTTTCTGATTGAGATTTGGGTCAACAAGACTCAGTGAAAGGGAATGACTGAATTAAAAATTAAAAGAGAAAACAAGAACAGCATTATCACAAGTACAACTCACATCATACGAAGTACAAGTACAGTTCAACCCTTACGAAGTACAAGTACAGTTCAACACTTACGAAGTACAAGTACAGTTCAAACCTTACGAAGTACAGGTATAGTTAAAACCTTACGAAGTACAACTACATCTCAAACCTTACAAAGTACAGGTACAGTTCAAACCTTACGAAGTACAAGTACAGTTCAAACCTTACGAAGTACAAGTACAGTTCAAACCTTATGAAGTACAGCTCAAAACTTACGAAATACAAGTAAAGCTCAAACCTTACGAAGTACAAGTATAGCTCAAACCTTACGTAGTACATGTACAGTTCAAACCTTACGAAGTACAAGTACCGTCCAAACCTTACGAACTACAAGTACAGTTCAAACCCTATCTACGTGAACTGTGTGAGTTTATTTATGCATTTATTTATTACACATGTGTCGTGGAATATATCCGGATACGACTTTTGATATTAGGTCTTTGTTTGGGAAACGGAAGGAAATGATTATACAACTGAGAAAGGAACTACTAATACTACTACTACTGCTAACAATTATAACAACAACAACAACAATAATAATAATAATAATAATAGTAATAATGAAAATAATAATATCCTCTGTTTGCATCTTCTGATAAAAAATGTTGTTGTCTTTTGAAGTTTCTGATTAAGACTTTGAGCAACTCATACTACTAAAAAAATGGCTAAATACAAGAAAAACAGCAGAACAACAACAATAATAATAATGATAACAACAACAACAAAAACAACAGGGATGATTATGTCGTGTATCGTGGGACTTGGTAATTACACATAACTTCTATATTCGTCATCATGTCCGGGCCCCAAATTTCGATTTCATTCTTTCCAGACCGCCGCCATATTGTCAAGAATCGGTTTGACAACTTCCGCTTGGAAAACGGCAAAATAATCTGAAAAGATGTTTAGCATAACGTGCCACATTTTTTCCCCCTGTTTTCCTTTGCATGATCATCCATAACCAATTTGACTTAACATCCGCCATATTTGTGATGACCTTTTTTCCCCAACTTCTTTGATTTTTGGCATTCATACGAGATTTATGCTAATAATTTACATGTTATAATATTTGTGGATTTAGGAATCGCCGTTCTTGTTATTTTTCGTGAGCGTTTTATGTTTACATAGACGTGAATATGGGAGAGAAAAAGATATCAATTTTATGGAATGATTTTAATTTACTTTGATATATTTTTGGAAGGGAACCATGTTCTTAACGTGTGACAATGAAAAAAAATGCCGGATAAGTTCTCGTATATGCAAACAAAAATGTTTTATTTTCAAGAATGCATTTGCATTCATATGCAATCTCACGTCAGAAACCTTATCATTATGTATACAAGTAATTAAAATATGTGTGTATATATGTATGTATGAATGTATTTTCATGTTGCATTCATAGATTATTCTGTTGAACAAACACATAGAAAGGCAGGCAGGCAAAGAGGCAGATGAACAGATAGAGAGATATAGACAGAGTGAGAAAATTGCTTACAACATTTGCGAATACAATGATATAGATATATCTTTACAGAGTGTGATATATATATATATATATATATATATATATATATATAGATAGATAGATAGATATAGATATAGATAGATAGATATTAACAGATAGATAGATATTCATATAGATAGATATAAGCAGACTGAGACAAATATATATTAATATAAATATATAGACTGGATAGATAGGTATAAATAGACTGAGACATATATTAATATAGATAGATAAATATAAACAGACTGACACAGAAAAAAATGAAAACAGACAGACAGATAGATAGATAGATAGATAGATAGATAGATAGATAGATAGATAGATAGATATGAACAGACTAGAATAGATAGATAGATAGATAGATAGATAGATAGATAGATAGATAGATAGATATGAATAGACTGCGATAGATATGAATGTAGACAGATATGAACACAGTGAAATTGATAGATAGATAGATAGATAGATAGATAGGAATACACTGAGATAATTAGGTATGTATTGTGATAGATAGATAGATAGATAGATAGATAGATAGATAGATAGATATGAATAGACTGCGATAGATATGAATGTAGACAGATATGAACACAGTGAAATTGATAGATAGAATAGATACTGATGATGAGATAATTAGATGTATTGTGATAGATAGATAGATAGATAGATAGATAGATAGATAGATAGATAGATATGAATAGACTGCGATAGATATGAATGTAGACAGATATGAACACAGTGAAATTGATAGATAGATAGATAGATAGATAGATAGATAGATAGATAGATAGATAGATAGATAGGAATACACTAGGTATGTATTGTGACAGATAGATAGATAATTAGATAGATAGATGAATATGAATAGACTGCGATAGATATGAATGTAGACAGATAGATGAAATGATAGATAGATAGATAGATAGATAGATAGATAGATAGATAGATAGATAAATAGATAAATAGATTGAGATTTAGGCATAATACATAATAGAGATAGATAGATAGATAGATAGATGAATGATGTATAAATATATTTATAGATAGATATGTTTATAGATTTAGATAGAAGATATAATGAATCTATGATTAATAATAAAGCCATTCAAATAGATAGATAATAGATAGATAGATAGGAATACATGAGATATAAAATAAACATAGACTGATATGAATAGACTATAGATACAGATATGAACAACTAGATAGATAGATAGATAATAGATAGATTCACTGAGATAATTAGGTATGTATTGATAGATCATAGATAGATAATAGATTAGATCATATTAGAAATTGAAAAAAAATAAACATTTTTAGGCATAAACAAATTGAGATAGATAGATACATAGAGAGATGTATAAATATATTTATAGATAGATATGTTTAGATTTCTAGAATAATGAATCTATGATTAATAATAAAGCCATTCAAATAGATAGAAAAGAACAGTATAAAATAAACAAGACTGGCCTTTTTTAGATACTTTGAATTCAGTTGTCATCAAATGTTAATTCTGATTTTTTACCCAAGAGAATGATCATTTCCCAAAGTCAATATCTATTCTTTTCTTTTTTTTTTTTACTTTGCTATTTACATCATTATTCTATTACCGGACATTTAAACCGAAATTTAATTCGACAAAAAAAAAATTTATTCGACAAAAAAAAACGACGTACGATTCATTTTTCTTTTTTGCCTCCTCAAAATGAACACAGCGGAAGCAATATGGCTGACGGAAATATTATTAGCAAATAATCTTGGTTAAAGAAAGAGAATATTAGATGAGTTCATTTTTAATAGAATCTGATGCTTCACGGCTAAGTCGAGAATTTCCGGTATTACTTGAAATCAACTTCATCTCATATAGACCCATATTTTATCTATTCTATTTATATATTTGTATATATACATATATATATATATATATATATATATATATATATATATATATATATATATATATATATATATATATATATATATATATATATATATATATATATATATATATATATATATATATATATATATATATATATATATATATATATATATATATATATACTCACACAAAGATATATAGATAGATAGGTATATATATATATATATATATATATATATATATATATATATATATATATATATATATGTGTGTGTGTGTGTGTGTGTGTGTTTATTAATTCAAACATCGTTAATAGCACGCATTCAAGAAATCGTGCGTTCTCTGCCAAGGATTGAACCTAGGTATCCCTTGTAGATTGAACCACTGTTTGATATGTCGTACTTTGCCGCCAAGAATTTAACAGTAAGCTAGGCTCTATCATCCTTTTATTTATTTATTTATTTATTATATATTATTATATATATATATATATATATATATATATATATATATATATATATATATATATATATATATATATATATATATATATATATATATATATATATATGCATGTAAATATAAATTCTATATATCTTAGTAAAGATGTGTCAATGAATGACAAAATGGAGGAAACCCTATGTAAGGCGTTTCGACCGTGGAAATGACTTCTTCAGACGAAATAATGTTCCTATTGATAGAATCATGTATATTTAGGGGTACAATGAAAATATAAAGAAATGGTAATTACAACGAGAAGGAAAAATGCCAAACAATTTCGCGTATATGCAAACACAGATATTTATTTTCAAGAATGCATTTGCATTCATATGCAATCTCGCGTCAGAAACCTTATTATTATGTATACAATTTATAATTAAACATCGAGAGAAATTCTAAAGGTGCAGGATCGCTTATGTTTAAATTTAAATTTTCTGGTGTCTGCTCTGTCGAAATGTAGAAATTAGTGGACTTCATTCAGCTTCTAATCTCTTTCACTTTTTCTATACCATTTCGCTATAATAAATTATGTTCGTCTTTAATTAAAACTGCATTCTTCAAATTGTATTTATGGGTACATTATACGACCTATTATGATGAATGACTAATTCATTGAGTGTGTTCTTGTATAAAAATATTCTTTTTCTATTCATACATTCTTCTATTTTCATCTAAATTCCTAGAAGTTTCACTTACACCCTTCTGCAAATTAATTAAAACAACTGCTTTAGTTTCTTTTCTTTCACGAACAGGTTTAAACCCACTCTAGTGACAGGGTGTAATCGAGTTCTATTTTTTCCTCAGATTAGGTCCTTTTCAGTGGTGTGAAGTAATATAAAACTATTTTCGAGTAGATGATGAAATTTGTTTGGCCCTGAAACATATTACTTCGTCCGTGATTACATCAGATTTTTATCTTGTCCAGCCACTATTGTCTCGACTGTCGATTAGTTTTCCTGCGGCCATTGTCTGCGATGGATGTTACTCCAAGTAGGCGTATGAAAATTGTAATGCTGCATGAACATAATGGCAAGCTTTACCAGTGAGTAAATCAAATTTCTATAGAGTGAAACTCTCCTGGTTTAGATCCAGTCGAGAATCAGTGATCAATTTGCAAGGAAAGACGTTGTGGAATGGACATACGAAGTACTAACATATTCACTGGGTCATATTTCAATGGGCAAATACGAAAACTGGAAACAATAATGAAATTCTTCTTTTTTTTTCATTTAATTTGCACAAAGTAGCATGTATTTTTTGTGACATTTATTCAGTGTAAATTCCTGATTCTAGATGAAGGTGGTTATTTTAACACGCTACAAATTCTGAGTGCTCTTAAATCCGATAACTATGCTGCATTTTCTTGCCATAGCGTGAATTGTTAATGATTATTTTTCGGAGACAGTTTATATACATATCAATATAGTATAGTGTGCCATCGAGGCAAGTTTATGTATTATTTGTTACGTAAGGATATTCTATAGCGCATGTTCTGTTTATTTATAAGAGCAGGTAATAATCATTTTTGTGGACATATTGATAAAACATAGTCAATATATTGGAAAAATCGATTATTTTCAGAGAGCATGCTTTGTAAAAGTAATATTTTTAAGAGAGCTAAAATGAGGTATGAACTCAGATATAAACTTACCGTGAAAGACAGAAATAGATGTACTTCCAATATTGAGTCAATAGCTCCATCCACCGCAAGGAAATTTGGCTCCCTATGCCGCGCCAGGAAATTTTTCTCGCCGGAGTCGATCCTTCAAATCTACAAATCAACCATTCGCCCTTGCATGGAGTATTACTGCCATATATGGTCTGGAGTCCCTTCTAATTGTCTCAAGGTTCTTGATAAAATCCCAAGACGGATATGCAATGTAATTGGCCCTGATCTGGCATCTCGTCTGTTGCCTCCATCTGTCTTTTTTACAAATACTTTCACGGTAACTGCTCCGATGAGTTGCTTTCGCTGGTTCCCAGACTTCATGAATGTAAGCGCTCAACTAGGCTAGCATCTCGCTCGCACCCTTTCAATATCGAAATTGTTAAATGTAGCCGTCACTTCTACTCCAATAGCTTCATGTCTCGCACTTCTCGCCTGTGGAACTCCTTCCCCTTTTCTTGTTTCCCTGATAGCTATAATCTCCAACTATTCAAATGTAACGTCAATCGACGTCTCCAGATACCCTGATCTATCCCTTATCCTTCTCTCCATCCTTTCCTCTGTCACTCTTCTTTGTTCTCGCTCCAACTCTCTGTAACCCCTTGCGTGCTAGTGGCTTCCAACCTTGCTTGGGGTTGAGTGAAAAAAAAAAAAAAAAAAAAACGACTTATTACGATGAATGACTAAGTCATTGATACAGATCTACTATTCCTGCGCGTATTGACTATTGTTATCCTGTCTGGTCTGATCTGGTCTGGTGCTTCAGGTAAACATCTCGAGATTAGCTGGGGGTTGGTGGGGGGGAGAGAAGAAGAGGATTCTTACCTTTCCCAAAGGTATTAGCCCGTAAGTGAATGATATAGATTTGCCTGGAATTCGAATTCGGCTCCCCGATTTCTCAATCTGAGCCGCTATCCATTGCACAATCGTACACATTTTTAATATCCTGTTTCATGTTAGGCAAATATACTTAACTTCACATAAGAGATTTCTTTTTTGACATTCCAAAATTCAAACACGAACCTATGTTAAATTTCTTTTTTGCAAGAAAGCAAGAATTGCTACTCTTTCAGCGCACATCAGTATTTTTGAGAGATAGAAAAAAAGTCTTATTTTTCAGTAACAACTTTTTTTTTTCTTTCTTTTCATTTCCTCATTCATCATTTTCAAAATGTAGTCATCCCTCTTGGATTGTATTTTAATTTCGTCCAAATTTACGTGTAGTTCCCTTATTCTTTTACACAAAACAGTTTTTATCAGGTTTTCAGAAATTAAAGAATCAATCCTCGTCTCCTCAAAAGATTCTTTAAATTTTGGAATAAATCTGGCAGACCATTTGCATGTAACAACTTCTTTAATGCTAAATAATCCATCTTAAAATCATAATTTAGTAAAACAGTTCCCCTACGTTGAAACCTGTTGGCTGTCTGTATCGGAATGCTTATTACCAAGGAGCCTGGTCTCCGTGATGACGAGTTTCGCAGCTATTTGGCTGACTTTCGTCGAATGAAGCGGCTAGCTGCAAGGGAGAGATTACGGAGAGCTAAGTCTACATGTCATTGAAGAAGGTCGGCAGAGGTAAGTCTCCCGGTCTGGATGGTTTGCCCTATGAATTGTACCTGAGGCTGTCGCGCATTTTGACGGTTGTGTTCAACAACTGGTTCCGGCAGGGGACCATCCTCCGACCAGTTCATCAGGGATGTGATAACGCTGTTGAGAAATGGCAAGGGTATTGGTGGGGGAAATTAGATGATTATAGGCTCATGACACTGCTAAACCCAGAGTTAAAGATTTTGGCCAAGATCTTTCTTTCCATCTCGTCATTCATCATATTCAAAAATGTAGTCATAGATTGTATTTTAATTTCTTACAAATTTCCAGTTAGTTCCCTTATTTTGTTACACAAAACACTTTTTATCTCAGACATTAAAGAAGCAATCCCCGTCTCCTCAAAAGGTCACTTAAATTTTGGGGTAAATCTGGACAGACCCTTTGCAGGTTACACCTTCTTTAATACAAAATAATCCATCGTAAAATCATAATTTAGTAAAATATTTCCCCTACGTTGAAACCTGTTGGCTATCTGTATCGGAATACTTATTTTTAGAACCAAAAATAGTCAACAATAGGTGGTGATCTGTTTGCAGAATGAATTTCTTACTATGCACCATCTTGTAATCATTTTTCAGTGCAAAAATAATCGCTAGAGATTC